AAAATGCAAAACGCTATGTGTGGCGGAAAACTAACACTGCACATCACTCTGAACGCATCATCCCCAGAGCACACCCTTGGCTAAGCAAACAAGAGCTTTTCCATCTTCCTAATTGTCTGAATGCACCTGCTATACACTGTGAAGACCCAGGGAACAGCCTAGCATAGAGCTACGTTATGGTCCGACTCAAGAGGGAAGTAACCACAGCCCGAGCTAAATGGGAATACGCTAAAGCCCACCTAGAACCAGGTTCCATGGGGGAACTGGGCATCCAGGTCTACAAGTTGAAAGTCACTGGGAACCGCTAAGAAACGTCAAGATTAGGATGGAGTCAGTCCCATAAGTGCTGGGGGACCAATACGAACTGCCTTGATTGCTGCCACCACACCTCCCATTGTAACTGTAACTGCAGACTTGCCCACATCCAGCTGGGATTGCAGGAACTGCAGAGTGGTGTAAAATATGGCCTCGTGGGGGTCCAACTGGTGGACTGCACACCAGGAGGCAAACAGTCTTCAGTAGTAGGAGTAGGCAGCTCTAGTGGATGGTACATGAAACTCCTGCAGAGTTTGCACCACTGGCTCAGGCAGCCCTAGGGCACAGAGCCTCTCTCTCTAAAGGGTCGGGCCATCTGCCTGAGCCCTGCAGGGAAGAGATGGATGGTCCTGCTCTTATGAGACTGGAGGTCCTTTTGGACAGGAAGCACCCATGCGGTCCAGTTCAGGAGCGGTGGGATTGCTGAAAACCATGGCATGTGAGCCCAAGAGGAGCCACCAGGATCCACTTCCTCTCTTCGTTCTGGACCTTTTTTCTGATATTTTTCTGAGTACATAAACCACTGACCGCAGACAATACCCCAGTAAGGTCCCCAATGCCACAGCAAGGTTTCACTGAGCGTGTCATGACCCCTTGACCAATGTGCCAATAAGCCTGGATGCCCTCCCAATATTGTGGCCCAACTCTGTTCTCTGGGAACTAGCTACTGGCTAAATACAAGACAAGTTGTATTTATCAGGGGAGAAGCACAGTCTCCAGTCAACGGCTTCCCTGGAGCTAGGGCTAGAGAGGAGCTGCTAAGAGGCTAATCTGAAATAAGCCACAATCAGGGGGAGGTAGAGACACCTACCTAGGGCCTGCTCCCCCCTTACACGTGAGGCAGCCACTTTCCCAACTGCCCTAGGCATATCAGAAAGTGGAGGGCCAGTGCACTTTTCCCCCAAAAACAAGAATGGGTTTCTCCAGTTTATGCAGGCAAGACAGAACAGTCTATGAATGACTGAGGACTTTCTCTGGCCAGCATAGCATGCTTGCTTATCGCTTAAAGGCAGCACATAATAGCAGAAATAGCACTTAATGTCTAACTTCACGGCACCATGAGGAATACACTGAGCTCTCTCTGCAGCCTGGAGACAAAACTCTCACTTGCTGGTCTGACAGTTTCAGACCTGAACCCGTGAGACCACAGGAAATACGCCAGAAGGATTACAGCAGGACACAGCGACACAACTCATTAGACTGCGATAAATAGACTAGAGATAACTTCAGTCCAGCACTTGACCAGTATGCATTGCCAATTTCCATTTTGAAAATGTTCCTTTTGATGGATCAGATTTTCTGTAGTAGTGCACAAATTCTCCTCTTAAGTTTGTTGTAATAAATCCCAACTTACTTGGGAAGTGGTATATGCCTCTTCAGGTCTGGTTTTCTATGTCTATGTTTATTCATGAGACCCCTGGTCTTATTTCTCGAACGCTGTTTTTGAAAACTGTTTTCACACATGAATTATGGACACTTGGAGGAGAATCTGGACATGAACATTGTCTGAAGCCAAGTTTTGTCACTTGCTGCATATGCGTAACAGAGCATTCTATGCATTTAATGCATTCTCACTACTGCAAATGTTCTATTTGGTTTTAATAAAAGGTGGTGATTGCTCTATTTTCGCATTAGCTCATTCAGATATTATATGGACTCTATATATGGGAATTGATTAATTGTTGTCTAAGCCAACCAATTTGATTCTCATTCAAATGTTTAGAAAAGTTAAAGACTGTGGTACATGTGTGAAAATAGCTGAAAGGCTCCATGTAACACCCTAGAGGGAAATTTCATTTCAAATCATCAAATTTTTAGAACATTTTAATTCATTAATTCAAACAATGCCAGAGATTTCAGTGTGCAACAAAATGGCCTGAAACTGGCCATTTTTCAAAGAAAAAAATATCTTGATAAGTATTTTGAAATTTAAAGATAAAACCCCACCGCACTCATTATACAGTGGGGCAAAAAAGTATTTAGTCAGCCACCGATTGTGCAAGTTCCCCCACTTAAAATGATGACAGAGGTCAGTAATTTGCACCAGAGGTACACTTCAACTGTGAGAGACAGAATGTGAAAAAAAAATCCATGAATTCACATGGTAGGATTTGTAAAGAATTTATTCGTAAATTAGGGTGGAAAATAAGTATTTGGTCACCTCAAACAAGGAAAATCTCTGGCTCTCACAGACCTGTAATGTCTTCTGTAAGAAGCTTTTCTGTCCCCCACTCGTTACCTGTATGAATGGCACCTGTTTGAACTCATCATCTGTATAAAAGACACCTGTCCACAGCCTCAAACAGTCAGACTCCAACCTCCGCCATGGCCAAGACCAAAGAGCTTTCGAAGGACACCAGGAAAAGTATTGTAGACCTGCACCAGACTGGGAAGAGTGAATCTACAATAGGCAAGCAGCTTGGTGTGAAAAAATCAACTGTGGGAGCAATCATCAGAAAATGGAAGACATACAAGACCACTGATAATCTCCCTCTATCTGGGGCTCCACGCAAGATCTCATCCCGTGGGGTCAAAATGATCATGAGAACGGTGAGCAAAGATCCCAGAACCACACGGGGGGACCTGGTGAATGACCTGCAGAGAGCTGGGACCAAAGTAACAAAGGTCACCATCAGTAACACACTACAACGGCAGGGAATCAAATCCCGCAGTGCCAGACGTGTTCCGCTGCTGAAGCCAGTGCATGTCCAGGCCCGTCTGAAGTTTGCCAGAGAGCACATGGATGATACAGCAGAGGATTGGGAGAATGTCATGTGGTCCGATGAAACCAAAGTAGAACTTTTTGGTATAAAGTCAACTCGTCGTGTTTGGAGGAAGAAGAATACTGAGTTGCATCCCAAGAACACCATACCTACTGTGAAGCATGGGGGTGGAAACATCATGCTATGGGGCTGTTTTTCTGCCAAGGGGACAGGACGACTGATCCGTGTTAAGGACAGAATGAATGGGGCCATGTATCGTGAGATTTTGAGCCAAAACCTCCTTCCATCAGTGAGAACTTTGAAGATGAAACGAGGCTGGGTCTTCCAACATGACAATGATCCAAAACACACCGCCCGGGCAACAAAGGAGTGGCTCCGTAAGAAGCATTTGAAAGTCCTGGAGTGGCCTAGCCAGTCTCCAGACCTCAACCCCATAGAAAATCTGTGGCGGGAGTTGAAAGTCCGTGTTGCTCGGCGACAGCCCCATAACATCACTGCTCTCGAGAAGATCTGCATGGAGGAATGGGCCAAAAATACCAGCTACTGTGTGTGCAAACCTGGTAAAGACCTATAGTAAACGTTTGACCTCTGTTATTGCCAACAAAGGTTATGTTACAAAGTATTGAGTTGTATTTTTGTTATTGATTTTCCACCCTGATTTACGAATAAATTCTTTACAAATCCTACCATGTGGATTCATGGATTTTTTTTTCACATTCTGTCTCTCACAGTTGAAGTGTACCTCTGGTGCAAATTACCGACCTCTGTCATCATTTTAGGTGGGGGAACTTGCACAATCGGTGGCTGACTAAATACTTTTTTGCCCCACTGTATATGTTATGTATGTGTCATAATTTTTTTATGCAAATGAGAGACTATTTAGCAAAAGGCCTGTCTCTGTTTGAGATGGAATGACTTAATAGCAATATCTGTTTTATAAGACCAAAAAGAAATCTATTAATGTTGTTCAGTCAGCATGTGTCTTTTACCAGGTCGTTGAAACCCGCTGTAAGAAAGTTTGCACTTCGAAGTCTGACCTTCGCTCCAGTGACTTCAGCATCGTGGGATCTTTACCTCGAGACTTTGAACTTTCTAACTTTGACTGTTATGGTAAACCAGTTGAAGTTACAGGGGCCCTCAAATCCCAAAACAAAGCCAACAAGAAACCACCACCACCTAAACCTGTCATACCGGCAGCTGCTAAGCGCATTGATCTCTATGCAAGAGCCCTTTTTCCCTTCTCTTTCCTCTTCTTCAATGTTGTCTACTGGTCAATCTATCTGTAAGAGGAAGAAGAAGAAAGTGATTTGTATCTTGGGTACAGAGCGGACAGTGCTGACATTAAAAGTACACTTTTCTTTGATAAATCATATAGTAAATTTATATATAGGTCATTCCATTAAAAAAAAATCTGTTTAATCAGATAAAAGTTCCCACCTTACTCTGTCAGAAACAGCTTTCATGTACAATATTTTTAGTATTTTCAAGGAAGCAATGAATAATATTACCTTCATCCTGTCAATATTTTCCAAGGTACATGGATGCTTGAAATTTCATTTGTAAGTGTCAACTCAACCTATGGGTTAGATATCGGGTTAAAGCAAGTTATATTATGGAAGGTCTCCTTTTTACCTACATTTTCAACCTGTTCACATCTGCTATACAGGTATACAACACAAAAACTGGTGGGTTGTTTGTTTGTTTGGTTTTTTAACAATGGATATGTGCCATAAAACAAGCTATTGCAGAAATCCACCATATGTGATGAAATTAGAAATGCCTGCAACTAGAACATGTTTCCAACAAACTAACAGTAATCTCTGAGCAGTCTTACTCGTTCAGCAGTGTTGATGCTCCAAGGAAACCATGCCTATCACAGCTTTATTCCAGTCGATCAAAACAGACTGGAAACTGTCAGTTTGTCTGGTGTCAAAAATACAACCATTATGAAGGCTGGATTTATTATTGCCAGAAGTTCCTACACAAGATTGCACGTCGTTGCTAACTAACAACTCTTTTTTTCTGTTTAGAGCCATGTTTGCAAAGCTGCAAAAACCAGTGTGGTTCCCGGGTATAACTGCAAATTTTCACAAATATAAAACTTAGCGTCCTATTGCTTGAGTTCCCTTAAAGCCTGTATATTAAGTAGGCACTGCATGTTTGTCTTTGTGTAATACAGGACATTGTGCTAGTTATAACCTAAATTATGCAGTTTAAAATATAACTGTATCCTGTGCATTAGAAATAAATGCTTTTTATTGAGGGTAACATTACTGGTCACACTTCATGCTAAAGGTATAGTATTCTAGAGTGGCCAATGTGGATGAGAATCGAGAAAAAGAAGGTTCTCTACAAGAACCGGTTCCTAGTAGTCCAATTCCTTGGAATTGTTAGTCTGCCTGCCTGTCAATCCCGCTTATCAGTTCTGGCATGTATTCTACAATTAGCTGATTTCAGTTATGGAGGAGCAAATTGTAGGGCAGTTTCCAGCGTGGATACGAACATAATTTTTATTTTTATTGCAAAAAAAGGAAGTGCAAACTGCATCCAGGACAGAACAGGTTGTTGCTAATATAACAGCATGCAAATGCTAAGCTATCCAAGATCCCAGAGCGATGCTAAGCTGAGTGAATGCTGATCCCAGCCCATGGCTGAGCCATCACTTGTGAGCTGCCGTGAAGCCAGCTGCCACTGAACTTCATCCGGTAACAAACAGATGAGCAGTTAGGCTGCAGGCTTCGTTTCTACCTGTTTTTATTTATATATTTATATTTATTTATATATTTATATAGCCCAAAATCACAACAATCTGTTCATGTTTCTGAAGTAGAATCAACATGGAGATCACTTAAAAGTCTCTTTGTGCTTGTTTTCATTTTTTTTTGTGCTGTAGGCTTTGTGTTCATACCTAAATACTAAGAGAAATATTATATGTGTCCTCATTAGGGCAGGGATTTGTGTTGATGTGTGGGACTGTAAATTCAGGTTTATATTGGCAAATG